GCTACAATTGAGGGATTTGACTTGGGTTCTTTTTAAGCCTTCTGTGAGCTAGGAATTTTCCCTTAGGGCAAAAAACAATTGTATGTTGGGGACTTTGCACCATTTTCCTTTCCTTTTCTTTTACAGAACCAATCTAGTTGCAAAATACTAGGATAGTCAATACTTCCCTCTGGGGCCCAAACCTCTCCATTTTCCAACCAGTATTGGGGCCAGGTGCTCACACAGTAGAAAATGAAGACCTTCTTTTCTGCGGCTTTGCAGATCTAAAACTTCCCAGTTGTTAAAAATAAATCCCAGAGGGGTTTGGAAATAAGAGGTCCTCAGCCAGGCATCCCTGTGAGTTTTCCCTTTTCCCTAGTGGGCAGTGAAGGATGTCTCCCTCCCCTCCAGGCCACTCTGTTCATGTGGGGTAAGTGGAGGGCGTGGGCCTGTCTGGACTTTCCCATCTTCACTGATGTGGCCCAGATCTTCCTGTCTCTCACATGAGTCTCTTTCCTGTCCTTGGCTTTAGCTGCAAGTTCTTCACCCATTGGGTCACTATATCCTTTTTTGCATCTGCCATTGAGCCTTCTTGAATATTTATTTATCCTAACCAGAAGGCTAAAATTTCAACCTGAAGGGAAAGAAACCCTGCTTCTTTTTGCTTCTAGTAGGGCTATCAGACATATGCCTAAAGGTCTTAAAATAGCTGCATCTGCCTGAGAAGTCAAGCTGCGGGTTTGGGCAGAAATATTTCTTCTCCTGGAATATGGGTATTTAAACTATAGGAAATGTGTGGGTTTTTTCATTCTCAAGTAAACAGGCCCCTTGCACCAAGAGATAATGCTGAAAATGACTTAATAACAGCAGGGTCTTTCCCAGGTGGCAGAGACGTTCCCCCCCCCCAACACACACACCCCGCCCCGCCCCGATTAGATAATCCAGAAACTGAGGCAGAAGTTTTTCAGGTTCCTCCAGGGGCTTGTGCTACTGGGAAATATAACCATCTTCGGAAGTCCAGTCTACTAATGTGTAAGTTTCACAGAGGGGCCCTGGATTAGGTTCCATAACTCTGGAGGAAAAATTTTTGTAGTCCCTCTGTGCCCCGAAACTGATTAACTACTGATTATGAAGTTCCTTTTCTATCTCCATGCACAAAGGTCAAAAGGATAGGGAGTGCTTCAAAAACCTAAGGTGGAGGGGTAAGCAATTTCCTATGCAATGATAGGTAAACAGAGCTGCAAGAACAGGAAGGTTGAGAGGGGTCCATAGGGACAAAATGAGAAAACAAGGAGGGAGCTCACTAGAGAGAAAGAGAGAAGTTCCCAAGCTCAACACATGAGGGATTACAAACCACCTCTGCTTCCAAGGAGTGAGAAGTAAGTGGACTTCACTCCTGGGCCACAGGAACTGTGAAAGTGGTGCAGGGATCTGTCTGGCTGTGAGTCAGGAGTAGCTCGAGGGGTTCCAATACACAGTCATATTTTGGGCCAGGGAGGTCCTGGAAGTCACACTCTCAGCCTTCTGGTCTCACAGGGTAGTCACCCTGGCCAGAGTAACCTTTCAGCTTCTTCCGTCAACGATTTTCAGATCCCCTCCTTAGTGAGTGAGACCAGAAGGGAAACTGGAATGAAGTCAGACCAGTGTTCCACCTTTGCTGTAGCTAAGGGGACTGAGCTGACCAACTCCAGCACAGCCTAAACCCAGCGCTTCAGACCAGCAGCCATGCTATTCATATGTAACTAGCTGGCGGTGCCCAGGTTTTGATGTTTCATAGAAGTCTTTGTCTACGCCCAGGGGGCTGGGAAAAAAGATGCAGGAGAGCAAGGCATCCTGGACCTCAGCAACTTATCCTTCATTGAAAAATCTCAGATGAGCCTCCAATTATGATAAACGATTGTTGGCCAAGTTCATGTCCTGGCATAGTCGATGATTGAAGACCCAGATCAGAAGTTAAGAGTTAAAGCAAGCACAAAGTTTGTGGAAAGAAGAGCAAAGCATTCTGACAGGTGGGCATTAGTGAAAGGACTTAATTGTCAAATAGCAGAAGTCCATGAAAGAATACAGTGGCCTGACTTAGGCATCCCCCCCATTTTACTTTGAAGCTATTTCTAAAATTGGCTAATTCTTGCTGAACCCAACTATCTTGCTGCGCCCCATCCTTATCAGACTGGGTATTTCATCTCGTTAGTCCATCCTCTCCTGTTGTAGTTTGGTGGGTTTTTGTTAGCCTGGTGGGGAGGAAGACAACTGAGAAACACAGGGAACAGATTCAGAGATCAGGTTCAACTTTAATGTGTAATAAGCAGCAATTAAATACTCTGTTTAGAGGAAGTTTAGCAGGTTCAAAAGTTTACTAGGTGCTCAAGCAAGAATTGAGGAGGTAACACAGACGCCAGCCAGGCCCTAATGGTCATTGTTTATGCAGTCGCCTCTATTGCAAGCAAGGCTTTATTGCAAGTAAGCAGGTTGCTCTACTTGTTTTCAGCCAGGGCAAGATAAAATTGCCTTAACTCTTTCCCTGCCAGACCAGTGTGGCTGCTCGCCTGGGAATTCTCCACACTCTCCTTGAGGCTTGTCTCCTACATTTTATGTCTACTGCTCATTATTTTGGTGAGACCCCCTTTTCATTTATCTTGGGAAAGTTTGCTGTGTTACTTTCCCAGGGGTCAATAGTTCATCTCTTTAGATGTTTACTTTAGGAACATTTCTTTGTCTCCCTTATCTAGGAGAAAAAACCACTCTACTTCATTATCTGGGTGAGAAGCCCATCCTCACATCTTCTTAGATGTTTACTTTTAAGGATGCCTTCCTGCCTCCTTTATCTAAAACAAAGTTACTTCTGCGATTTGTTTCCTTTACATTCCCAGAGCCATTTTTGCCATTTATTTCCCCTCATATTTGTTCCCCTTATACCAGCTGGGGACCAAGTCTTCAACACATGAACCTTTGGGGGACACTTCATACATAAACCATGAAAGATTATTTCCTAAAAACAAATCCTGTAAGTAGAAAGAGTACTTAAAGGATTGAAAATGTTTAAGGTGTCTATGTTGACAAGTTATCTTACAGCAAAGATTCTACTCATTTATACTTCTACCAGCAGTAAATAAGTATCTAGTTGAGAGCATTTTTTCTTACAATGAATCTGATCTTTTAAAGAACTTTCTAATTTTAATAATCAAAACATAAGTTTCTATTTAATTTGCAATTTATAGATTTCTAATAAGACCTGCATTTTCATATGTTCATTGATTTGTGTATGTTTGTGTCTGGATTTCCATTTTTCTTTGGGGTGTTGAGCTATTTACATACCAGATGAAAGACATTTTTATTCCTCAGTGAAATTAAGTCCTCAACTTGCAATTTAAAGCCTGCCTATCTAATTTGCTTCCAATTTCTCACAATGTTTTCCCAAATATAAATAACCTCAACCTCAGGTGTTATCATTTCCACCTGCTACCCAATCAATTCAGTGTATTTCACAAAAAAAAAAAAAAAAAAGGGAGATGTAAACATGCTTGTCCCAAGGGAGCTTACTGGAGCTTGCCCTTTTCTTAAATTACTTAATAAAATGCAAAGTACACAATACACACATTTACACATACACAAATAAATGTGAACATACACACACAAGGACTGATTTCGTTTTTTATTGTGCAGTTAGGGTGCTTGGACTCCAAATATGACATGTCTACCTCAGGAAACAGTCACATTACCTTTGTTTGTTACCACTGTGGCATTAGTTAGAAATTCTAACTTTAGTAATCCAGCTAGGATCACTAACTGGATATTAAAAATGAAACTTGACCATCACATGGCATTTTTTAGTCTACTTCCCACTTACGGACGTCTGTCCAATCCAGGCCACTATCCAACCTCCTTATTGCTATCCCTTCTACTTTTGTCTAGCTAACTATTGTGTGTGCCCATGTGGTTAAAGAGTACATAAAGACAAACTGCCTGTGTCTTAAATGCTGGCTCTGCCATAGTTGTATGGCTTTGATTAAGCCATTTAACTTTGTTGCCTTAGTTTACACATCTATACATTGTGCTATGTAGGTGGTTCTGAGGATTAGTTAATATAAAGACCCTTGAAAACTAGTATAAGTGCTATTAAATGCTAGTCATTACACCAACCAAACCAGCCATTACATCAGATGCTAATCCTTCTCTAGATAACTTCTTAAAGAATAAAATCTGAACTCCTCCTTACTGCGGCCTCTTGAGTCTGCTCCTCTGACTTACCCCTTATTACTCTTTCTTTATTCTGGTTAAATTGGCTTAGTCTCCAAAAATACTAAGTAGTTCTACTCTAAGGCCTTTGCACTCGAAATCCCTTTTTGCTGAAACACTTTCTCCCCAGTTTTGCTTTGTTCACTTCCTCAGGCAGCAGCTGAAATATTCAGAGACCTTCTCCATTTAAAATAGCACATCCTTAACACAGAAGCTCATTAATTCCTTGCTCCATTTTACTGTTCTTTATGAAATGCATCAACATTGACATTACATTATTGAGCGCTCCTTCCCTCAAGCTTCAGGCACAAGGATTTTGTTGTGCTCATTCTCTCATAGCACCTAGAACACAGCCTGCATTGGCAGTGCTCAGAAAATAATTGCTCGAAAGATGTTGGGCTAAAATTTTTTCATGTTTCTTTTTTTTTCCCCTGAGGACTATGCAGGAGGACCTTTACTTACTGTGAAATTTCTTTTTAATAATACGGACTTAACATTGCCTTATCCACATTTCATTAGGCCACTATTCACTTTAGAAAGGTAAATAGAAACATACTTGCAAAGTTACAAATAAGCAAGGACAACCAAAATGTTTTTTACAATGGAAAGTGTTAAGTACTATGTAATAAATTCTAGATGGAAGTCCTATTTTTCTAACACTGTTTTTAATATTTATCTACTTAAAAAGGTCAGTGGAGATTTCCTATCAGATCAAACCACATAGTACCTTATAATTTTTACATGTATGTGTAGTCACAATAAAATTCTCTCTTTCGCTTTTGCAGGTTAATGACTCCAGAAAGTGAGATCAGATTTGTCCACAAAGAAATGGGTATAATTCCAAGCTGGGGTGGTGCATCCCGGCTGGTTGAAATCATTGGCAGTAGACAAGCTCTCAAAGTGTTAAGTGGGGCCCTCAAACTGGATTCCAAAAGAGCTTTAAACATAGGAATGGCTGAAGAAGTCCTGCAGTCCTCAGATGAAACTAAATCTCTAGAAGAGGCACAAGCATGGCTAATGCAGTTTGTTAGTGGGCCACCAGAAGTTGTTAGAGCTATGAAAAAATCTGTTTGTTCGGGCAAAGAGCTATACTTAGAGGAAGCACTACAGAATGAAAGAGATCTTTTAGGAACAGTGTGGGGTGGACCAGCAAATTTAGAGGCTATTGCTAGGAAAGGAAAATTTAATAAATAGAAAAGCTTCAATGGTATGTATTACAAAGTTATTAAATGTGAACAGAATTACTGTCAAGTCTAGTACTAGTATTGAGTTGTTTTGGTAATATTTTGAATATCTGAATTTTTTGGTCTATTTTGTTTAGCCAACATTTAACATACAACTTTCTGCTTAAGAATTTCTGTCAATTCCTGTATTCCTATAATAGTTCTTAAATCAACATAGATTAATTTTTTTTAAATAAAGTCTACTCTTAGGGCTGTTTTCATGTTTGTCCTTTCTTACCTGAAAACTATTTATAAAAATAACTTAATCAACCTTGTAGTTAACAATCAGAGAACAAGAAAATAAGAAAGTATAATCAGTCCTTTTCTTCTACTCCAGGTAGCTGTAACAGTCATGAAAAATGACTCTTCGTTTAAAAGGTGCTCCCTTCAAATGTGGAGCCTTATTTATAAACTTTTCAGTTAGTTTTCTATTTTAAATCATCTATTAAACAGTGGTGTATGGAACATCAGCAGACTATATGTATAAAGTGGCCATTCATTTGTATTTGCTGAAATTTCCAAGCTCATAGTAGTACTGCTGATGGACGTTTCAAAGATTCATAAAGCACCCTATAATGTAGATTTGTATTTTCATCACATTTCTAAAAACACTTTTCTTTTATAGCTAGCTGTATTTTAATAGCAAATTTAACAAAAATGCGTAACTCAAGACTTTTGATCATTTTACTAACTCCTTTGAAAATCAATATATTAAGTCACAGTTCTAACCTATCCAACAAGATGAAAAACTTTTGCATAGTGAGTTTCAAAGTACTGACAGTAGTCGCAGTTTGATTTTATTGTTGACATTTAATTCACACTTGAGAATTATAGTAAAAATAACTCACATGTGCTTTATCAACATGATGTTACTGTTTCAAGTTAAAAAATACAGAAAGACAGACTCACATTATTTTTCCAGAAACAAGTTCTAGATTACAAAGTTTAACCAATACCTCCTACTTTGCCAAGATATAAAACCTACCCAATAAAAGTGGTTTTCTGGTCTATGTTATGTATAAAGTAAATTTGTATCTGCTAATGCTGTTTGTAAATCTGAGTAATCCATGTTGTAACACCACTAAAGACGACTGGTAAGGAAAATAAACTATGATCCCAGCTGTTTGAGAACTGTCTCACAGGTTTTAGGTTTATTTTTATACCTATTATCACACACACACACACACACACATACACACACAGTTTAAATATTATCTATGAAGAAATCAGATTTCGGAGTGGTGACTATTTAAGCTGAAGATAATCAATTCAAACAACCACTCACAGGTTTTAGGTTTATTTTTGTACCTATTTATTACACACACACACAGTTTAAATATTCTCTAAGAAGAAATCAGACTTTGGAGTGGTGACTATTTAAGCTGAAGACAAATTAGTTCAACTAACCACCTTTTTAATGACTTTTGGCCACAACTACCAAAATACTTCCATCCTTTTTCCAGACTCAAACCAGAGACAAATCATTTTTGATAAACTCTAGTATTTATTAAATTATAATTTTTTAATCAAAAAGAAAAACGCAGACCAAGAGAAACCTCAAAGTACAAGGACTAGACAGCAAAGCCTATGGGAAGGAACGCCATGAAGTGTTACAAAGATTCTGAAACATAAGTTATCTGCTTTCTTTACATTTCCATATTTTACTATAAAATAGTTGTTATTCATCTATTTTTAAGTTCCAGTTTCACATCTATTTCCACATTAAATGAAGCTTCCTGCTCTTCAAACATCTCACGGGTGCCAAATTTTAGTAATGATTTTATGCCAACCCATGCAGAAAAATAAGATAGTGCAAGAGTCAGATGGGAACCCCATTAATGCACAGATGATATACAAAAACTGGCCAAAAAAACTAAAGAAATTTTTTAAAAGCAAAGTAAACCGATGTCTAGAAAACTGGGCTATTACTAAACAGCTCTCAGCTAATACCCAAGTTCCTTACATCAAATAAATTTCAACAGACATGTTAGACATTTTAAATTTCAGATCTATCCATCCCATTCCCCTTTCCCTTTCCCACCCCAACTCCCAAAATACACAACTAGGGATGAGTATAATGTTATGTGAGCAGAAATTTACAGATCACCATTTCAACTTTGAGCATGGAGCTGAAGATTTATTTAAACTTCAGTTACTGTGCACTGTCCATCAGGCCTTCTAGATCTGACACTCACTGTTCCACCCCCTGCTACTGATCGATCAGCTCCTGATCGATCTGGTCGATCAGCTACTGTATGGTTTAAATTAGGAGCCAAAAGTCTCTGTTGGGTCAAGGAGTGCTGTGCAACAACTGCAGAAACATCCTCACTCTCACTACTGGCATCAGATTCGGTTTCTTCAATAGAGGTGTCTGGTACCCTGCCTGAAGATGGTGACTGATGATCTTCTTCTCCTTCCCCCCTATGACTCCTTTCAGCTATGCTGTCTCCACTGAGTTGTAAATGAGCAAAAGAGTCTTCCAGAGAAGTGCCTGCGTCAGGAGATGGTGTTGCAGGGCTGGTTAACTGACCATCTACTGATGTTAGGGGCCTTACAGAAGACGACACTGGAGGCTGAGCAGAAGCTCCATTCTGTGTTGATATGCTGTCCGCTCCGTCAGCAGAACTCTCTCTTGCTAGGTTTACAGTATTAGTGTCACAATCCAGCCTAAGTCCAGCTACTCCCTTCTTTGGTATATCAATTATATCTCTCTTAATCTTCCTGCGACGTCCATGTTCATTTCTCCTATACTGAACCATATTTTCAAGATCAGCAACATATAGAAACCCAGCAATTAACATTTCAGTGTTCTTTTTACCTTTGGAAAAAGCATCTTCCAGCTCTCTACTAGTACGCTCATCGTACTGCCACCACCCATTTCTTCCTTCATAATACCATGCATATTCACCATTTCCTCTACTTGCTGCCTTAAGTTCTTCTGGTGACAACAAGGTTGGCTTGTCAAGGAAATCCTCAGGAATTTCTTGTCGACAGAGGGCACATCGCTTTCCAAGCCATGAAGCTCCCTTTACACACAGGTAGCAGAAAACATGCTTACAGGGGAGACTGACTGGGTGAACACATGTTTGCAGACAAATGGCACATTCAGGAACAGTTAGAGAAGGTGAACTATTAGGACAGGACTCATTTGCTTTCTTGTTTGTAGGAAGCATGTTTATTGAGTGATCAATTTCACCACAACCAGCCATCCTAAGAAAAAAATACAAAATATTGAAATCATGTTTAATCTTTTAGAGTATCTTAATTTAACCATTCAAGCAGTACTTAATAAGCAACTATTCTGCTTGGCACATATTTCACAATGAGAACCCTAAGATGAAAATACATTAAAAATGCAATTTGCATAAAAATATTTTTGATTTGCATTTGAGTCATCAGTTTTTACTTGCAGGGGGCAATGAAAAGCACAAATACTATACCTAACAAATAAAAGAAACCAACATACAAATTTCACATGTATCACTCTGCTCAGAACTTACAAGCTAGAATCAAATGTGAGCATTTAAAAATATGCATTCTAGACTACTATTACAATCAGTATGAAAAATAAACAGAAAAGTTAAAGTAACTCAGATGATAACTACAGATACCAACAATTTTTCAGGCTTTTAGGATATTAATAGCAATTTTGTAAATTATGCTATGTATTAATATATTTTTGGTTCTTGACAAATAGACCACATTAAATTAAACCTAAAATCCTTGAAGTTCCTTATCCCTGCTGGCTGCTGTGGATGTAAACACACTGGTACAATCAGTCATTTCTGTCCTATTTGGTCATTTCCTCTTCATGAAACACTTAACAGCTTTTTGTTGCTGACTTTTTCTAAACCACAGGCTCTTCTCCCTATACTTTTTTGAGATGATTTCATCTATATTCATATCTTTACTTATTACCTATACACAAATGACCAAAATTGGTATCACTAATCCAGGCCTCCCCATTCAGTCAGGCCTATATTTTCCTATTTTAGATCTAGAATATTTGGAAGGAACAAAACTGAACTCATCATGTATTTGCTTCTTACTCTCTAAAACAGCTCCCAAGGTGGTAGCACTATCTGCCTACAAGGCAGAAATCCAGCCCAGAAATGTCCTACCTCTCCTTGATCCAAAGAAGCAGTAAGTGTGTGTATATATATATATATGTATTTTATATGTACTTGTGTGTGCATGCATACATGTATATTTTTGGGTGGTACTAGAGTTTGAACTCATGACTCAGAAAGCACTCTACTGCTTGATCCACGCCTCCAACCCTCTTTGCTCTGGTTGTTTTGAAGTTAGGGTTTTGCTTTTCACCCTGGTAAGACGACCATAATCCTGTGCTTCCCACAGTAGTGAGGATGACAGGCGCACACCAACACGCCCAGCTTTTTTTTCTGTTGAGGTGGTGTCTTGCAAAGTTTTTTGCGGGACTGGCATGTAGAATCTGGAACCAAGATCCTCCTCCTAAATAGCTAGGATGACAAATGTGAGCCACCAGCATGCCACTTGCTAAGCTGTATCAATTTTATCTCCTGAATCTATCTACTACCCATCTTTACCCTTCCCTGGCTACCAAACAAACACTTCACCAAATTAATGCATATGCCTTAATTGCTCTAGCCACACCCCTTGCTTAAAAATTAACTTAAGGATAAAGACCCAAATCTTTAAAATGATTGGTTACATCCTATACAGTTTGACCCCACTCCCATACTAGCCTTCCCTCATCAAATTTCCACTTGATCAGACTTCTAGCCACACTACTCTCTCCAATAGCTGGCTTTCTCTGTGTATGGAACACCCCTCATTATCTATTGCTTTGTCCTTAGTGGGTAAAGTACTATCCATTTTTTATCCCTCATGAGAAGTCATCATTCATCCCCTCTTGAGAAAACTTCCATGACCAAATCAAATTACCCTATTAACTTATTAACTATGCACTCCTCATTCTTTATCATAATTGCAATGTAGGATTTATTTGTGTATTTTGTTTATGTCAGTTTCCTTAAGCTGGCATGCTTTGTAAGAACAGGAAACACGACATTTTAGGCTCATCTATATGTTTCCATACAGACCAGACAGATAATTGCTAAGAAAATATGCTTTTTCCAAATAATACCATGAATACATTATGACATTATAAAATATACTTGAATTTCATTTTAAATATTATTATGCTAAATTTACTTGTACATTGGCAATACATAAAAATTCTGTCAGGGTGCGGATATATGAGCTATAAGAAGCACACTGAGTAACTATATAATGAAAAGTTGCAGCCTACAATGGAAAAATGGGGTAACTTGAATTAAGGCAGTTGTTACATAGTGAAACCAATGCCAAACAAGAACTCTAAAAACCTGAGTCTTAGTTTCCCTTACTAATTATGTGCATTTATTCACCAGGTAAACCTTCAGCTTAAATTTTCTTACCTAAAAATTAAAGAGTTTCTGAAGCTCAGATAAGAATGGCCAAAAAAAAAATACTTTGTAACCTCTACAGCTTCATAAAAGTTACAATCATACAAAACCAAGGGAGAAAATGATATGAATATTAAAGCTGCTCTGAAGAGGAGAGAATAATTTGTCAAAATGGATGTATTGAGCTTACACACTGAAATAAAATGTGGAACTTATGCCTTATCATTCAGATAAACAGCTGTTCAATACTGGGTCCATACACAGTGCTGAGTTTTGATGGATCTAAAGATGAATAGGATACACACCTACTCTGTTAAAGATGAGGAAACATAAACTCAAGTAGATCATCACAATATGTAGTAACCAAAATGCATTAAGATACCAAAAGTAATGATGAGAGATTGAGGCAGGAAAGGTCGGGACTTATTACATTTTAGATTAACCACACTTTGGCTCAGGGACCACCCTAACCTGGCCAGGAACCACCCATGCCACTCCACACTCATTGATTATTGGATGGGAATCACGTGGTTCCTCCCTTCCCATAGATAAGCAAAGTTTTAAAAGTACCAGAGAAAGAAAAGCACACTCTCTACACCAGCAGAATGCTCCTGCACCCACCATGCTCCCTCTTGTATTTCCCTTCCCTAACTTATTAACTCCCTTTACACTCAGGTGTCCTGCCATGGATTTTTCCATGTGGGACAAAGAATTTGGAAGTCTTCTGATCACTGACTGAATTGGCTCTGTTAACAAGAAGAATGGATATAGGCTGGAAAGTTTGGGATATAGGGGCTGGGTAGAGGAAGAGATTCCACTGAGAGACATGAGCAAGGCACTGAGGCATAGAAGCAATGGAACAGCAGGAGATGGAGATGAATCACAAAGCCAAATCATGAAAGCCTTACTGTACCCTGCTAAGAAAACATCGAATTACATTTTTATTTTATACAACAGTAACAGGAAATATATTTTAAAGGGAGAAAATGACACAGTAGACAGGTGATAAGTGAGAAGTCTGACGAAGATATTAGAGATTAGAAATTGGTGTTTACAATTAGTGACAATCTCTCTGTACTATTGTTTCTGCCATTTTAAATATAGAATATTTAATCACCATAGGACTTTTGTTTTTTGTTTAAGATAAAACACTAAAAATAAGCCCTGTGGTTATAAAAGGGATAGTTAATAAACACATTTTTCAAAAAGTGAAAACATTCTCTGGCATATCCTATTTTATATCCCATTGTTCTGTTTTTTCTGTATCCTTGGTTCTCAACAGACAAAGATTCACAATGATGCTTAGTGTTTAAGATTTCATGTACATGACAAAGCATAGTATCCACAGAAGAACTAATCACAGAAGTGCTTAATTTCTAAATTCTTTTTCAACTCTTACTATTACCAGTTAGTTCCTTTATCGAACTCTAGATTTTAGAAACCAGCAAAGTATAACTTGTTCCTAACACACAGAAAGTTCTAAATCAAGCAAATATGACTTCTAAATATGTGTTGGCCACAGTAGGAGCTTCAAAGTATTTTGCCTTCCTTTCAAAGATCTTTTAACTTGAAACAACAGAAGTCACAAGTGAAAGGATATACTTCACAAGTGGTCAATCAACAACTACATCTATTCCTCCACACATCAAAAGAATTGACTATGTACAACCATATTCTGGGAAGGCCTCAGAAACTTTCATTCCTTGAAATTTATGTCAAAGAAGTTATTATCAGTGTAATTGTTGAAAATCTTTTTAAAATTTCCACAAATACTTAAATCTCCAATTAAAACGGAAAGTTAAGAAAGTAGTCCACCTACAAGTAATAATTTCATTAAGAAAGATGCTCCCACACAAGTACTAACACGAGTCCCACCTCCTTAGCTTCTGAGATCCAACAAGAATGGAAGCATTCAGGGTGGTAAGGCCATACACATGAGTGAAAAATGACTATTCATGATTCTACTCATATGGCAAAGCAGAGAAAGAGGCTGCTGCTCATTACAACTTTAGAAAAATAGCAACATCTAAACTAAGCGCCTTGTGAACAAAGGGCAAATTTTAAATCTAATTTAAATTTCAAATAAGAAAAATAAAAGTCTGACAAAATGTAAAAAAATTTCCAACATGCTACTTGGAGCAATGTCATACTTCCAAGGACATTAATTTCAAACCTACTCAGTTTGTTTTAGTAAAATTGATCCAAAACATCAGTTTTCCATCAGCTGTATCTGGCATATCTACAGAAAAGAAAGGTTTCAACTGAAAACAATACTTACCAACCTGACATGATCAATATTTTGTATGATTTATTACTGCATGCATGAATAAACCTATACATATAATTTTAAAATACGGAAAGCAATTATGACCATTCCAGGGGAAGGCAAGAAGTATTAACAACAAACTTGGAAAAGCAAAACAATTCTGTTTGGGTAAATATTCTGGTTCCCTACAATGAAGAAAGCTGGATAGATTTCATCACAAACAAACAAGGGGCACTGGACAGCGAAAGGTGCATTCTTTCATATGAAGCACTCTATTGATTTGCCACCACAAATTTTAAATTATAATTCTCTTAGCCTACCAAGTACAATCTATCACCAGTGAAAAAATGGGGGAAAAATGTAGTATAATTCTGGACAAGGCACATTCAACAGATAGCCACATAACTAGATAAAGACAAAGCAACCCTAAATCGTTAGCCTGCATAAGACAGACATATAACAAATGTGGGATTTTGTTGTTGTTGCTGTTTGGTTTTATATGTTTGTTTATGTGG